CTTCTCTTCACATTTGGTATTTTTTTTCAAGATTTCTAATTTTATTACTATATAATGTTTTATCATTAGAAATCTATTTCTTTTTAAAAAGCTTTTTTTTAGTTTTATTGAGATAATTGACAAATAAAAATTGTAAATACTTAGGCTGTACAATATGGCTTTTTAAAGATATACAATGTGATGATTTAATATATGTATACATTTTGAAATGATTAGCACAAACAATTAACATATCTATCACCTCACATTTAACCTTTTTGTATATGGTGAGAACTTAAGGTCTACTCTCAGCAAATTTCAAGGATACAATATAGTACTATTAACTATAATCACCATGCTGTACATTAGATCCTCAGAATTTATTTATCTTGTAACTGAAATTTGTACTGTTTGCATGTCTGGTAAATTTTTTATTGGATGCCAGACATTGTTGATCTTATGTTGTTGGATACTGGATTTCACTGTATTTTTTGAAAAAAGAGTATCGGGCTTACTTTTTTCCTGACATGCAATTACATTTCTTGGTATTAGTTAGATCTTTTTCAAGTTTGATATTAAGCTTTGTTAGAGTAGATTCAAAGCAGCTTTTGGGTCAGGTTAATTGAGGCAATGCCCTTCTGATGACTCCAGCTGATGTCATTTGTATTATGAGATCTTTGTACTTTGGCTGGTGACAACCTAAACTATTCTCAGCCCTGGGTAAACTGAAAGTTGTTCAGCCTACTACTTTCTGGTGATTCTTTCACTAGCCTCAGGTAGTTTTATCTTATGTACATGCAGATCAGTACTCAGTCAGAAACTTGAAGGACCCTCTTTGCAGATCTCTGGAGCTCTCTCTGAGTGGCTCCCTTCTCTCTGGCACTCTTTTCTGCACATTCCAGTCACAGCAGACTTTCTGAACTGATTTCTGTCTTCTCAACTCATCAAAATCACCAGGATTTTTGGAACTTTTGTCCTTGCATTGCAGCCTGGAAATTGCCTTGAGGGCTCATCACATTTGTTTCTCTTCTCACAGAGATCTTGGTTCTGTGCTGCCTTTTGTCCAATGACTAAAAAATTGTTTCATATATTTTGTCTGATTTTCTGATTTTATTGAGGTGAGATGGTAAATCTAATCCCTGGTACTCCATTATGCCTGAAAGTGAATGTCCTATATCATTACTTTTAATTAAAAAATACCTTCCAGTAAGTATTATATCTATATGTTTTATAGCATTAAATATATCTGAAAGACTTATGATAAAATACATCATTCCCCTGTCCCATGCCTTCCCACCTCAGTCCCACTATGTAGAAATAACCTCTTCTTTAATTAATTAGCTTTTCTTTTTATAGCTAAACCCATATTTCAAAGTAATATGCCTCTACTGCTATTTCTCATTTATTTCTGATGTTATCTATTTACTTTCTGTTATAGTGGGAAGGACTTTGGCTTTTTTATACCACTTCTCATTTTCTCATCTTCCATTTTCCCAATAAAATTGTATCACAATTTTTATATAATAAGTAATCAGTGTTATACCATTATGACTATGCAAATATTGCTTATTCCAGAACCTAATGTACTACTGATTCCATTTTATTTCTACATCAGTTTTTAAATTATTCTTCAAATTTATAATTGCTTAATTTTAAAATATGTGCATATTTTGCCATTTGTATCTTCTTAATCTTTTCCAAATGTTTTGTTTTAAAGACATTATATGAAGTCCCCTCTCCGTTTTCATTACAAGTGACCCTCCTGAGGTCCTCTGTGATGCTGGGAAGTTACACATTTGTTACCTGGGGTCTCCCAACCCCATTTTTCTACATGTATCTATTGCTTCCTGTTTTCTATGTCATCATCCTTCTTGGTTAGAATATATCCTTAAGTATCTTCCTAATAAATGGAGATAATTTGGGATAGTGAAATACCTGAAATAACTTTGTTTCACTGTTAAATTTGGTGGATAGTTTGACTGTGTGCAAAATTTTAAGTTAAAAAAAGTTTCTAGTAGAATTTTGAAGGCCTTGGTCCATATTCTTCTGTCATACAGTGTTGTTAAGGAAATACCTGAAGCCACCATAATTCTGATTTCTTGTGATTTTTTTTTTCCATTTTAGAATATCTTATAATTTCTTCTTTATTCCCTGGTCCCTGAAATTTCATGTTCATGAACTTTTAAGGTGGCTCTTTTTTCATTTATTGTGCTAGATACCCTGTGGTTCTTTCAATCTAGAGACATGTCTTTGAGAATGTAATAATACCTTTTTTCTGTTCCCTCTCCCTAATTTTCTCTGTTCTTTCTATATCTCCTATAATTTGTATGATACAGTTCTTGAATTTCTCTTCTATTAATTTTTTTTCTTCCCATTGGTCATCTCTTTGTCTTTTGTTTTATTTTCCAAATTTTGGCTTTATTTCCAAGCATTCTATTCAAGTTTTTAACTTTGGGGATCATATATGCTAATTTACAGAGCTCTTTCTTAGTCTCTGAGTGTTTTCTGTTTCCTGTTTAATATATGTGGGTTTTTTTCATATGTAACTGAGGATAATAATTTGGGGAAAATGTTTTCTTCTGTCTTGCATTATCTCTGTTAGATAAGGTGTTTTTTGTGTGTTTGTTTGTTTTAATTTCTCACTTTCATGTTGGAGATTTTTCTCAATTATTTGATGAGCCTTGGTTGTCTGTTTAAGGGTAAGATGTGAAAATATGTGTGTGTGTGTGTTCAAGTAAGAATGTGTATGAGAGTGGGGGGTGGTGGTGCTTTTCAACTGATGGGCTTCACTTCAAGATACTTGGACAATTAGTTGGTCATTTCACTGGTGCTCCACAAATTCTGGGAAAGAGATTTCTGAAAACCACAAGGGAAGTGCCCGTCTACAAGCATTCTGCCTACAGGGGTCTATATTATGGGAACAAAAGAGGACTTGGTCCTATCACTTCATTTTACAGACCTTCAATTTATCTCTTTGTCATTACTCCTGCCCTCCACCTCTAAGGTGTCTCTGAATCCCGAGTTTCTCCTATTAATTTTGCTAGAGAAGAAAACTCAGCTCTTCTGCCTCAGAAAGAAGTGAGTAGGTTGGGTACCAGATACTTTGATCCAGGTGTTCTGGCTCCACTGAATTATTAACCTTTCCAGGGTTTTATGGAGCAGATTACTTCCTTTTCATGTCCTTCCTCTGGCTTCCTTTACACTGCTAAATCAGTAAGTATTCCTTCAACTTTTAGTCTTCTAAAAATTTATTAAAATCTTATATTTTTTCTGATGTCTCCTTTTCCATGCCTTATGTGGTTTTTAAGAATTATTTTTTTTATCATATTAGTAGGAGCACAGAATGAAGGAGAAATAAACACATGGTAGCATACTACCATCTCTAACCAGAATTCTAGCTTATATAATTTTTATTGATATTGCTATAATGAGCACTTCTTTGTGCCTGTAGCATTTTTTCTCCTTTTGCATTTATGGATTAGTATAGGATCAAAAGCACAAGAAATTAGATTTAAATAATTAGAGGGATGCTTTATCCCATATTTCCGAAGCTAAGAAGAGTTGCAGAGAGAATTTGAGACTGATGGGAAGGGAGATGAAGAGCTTTGTGTCATGTGTTTTCATCTTTTTAAAAATGAGTTTATTTGTAAAGTGACAGGACTGCGAATGTCTTGGACTTGGGGGGAGTCTAGAGCACTTTTGAGAAGTAAGGAGCTATACTAAGTAACATCTACAATCTTAGTTTTTGCCTGAGGCAGGCTCTTTTGGTAGCCTAGAAGACTTAACTCCCCAAGGAAATGAACTATCCATTGGGAAACCCGAGGCTTTATCTCTGAGAGCCAGATGTCTTCCAGGGATTGGGCTTGGTATGTCCAAAGCCCCTACTTTTCCCAAATCCCAGCCCCAATGGACCATGAGTTTGTGGAGAATGAAGAAAGAGTCTGCAAACACCACTCAGCGTAGGAGCTATTCCATAAGTACTCTATGTCTAGGGTGGGACCAACTACCTGCACAAGGCTTCCACCAAATGAAAGACCCCTCTCTTTAGTTGGTTAACCCTCAGCTCTGGGCCTCAGTCCATTGAACTGGACCTGTACCAGAAAGCTCTTTTCCATTGTCAGCAGTAGATGGTTTCTCAGTGCCTGGACCAGGCCAGCAACAGGTGGCCCTGGGCTTCCAGACTAGAGTAGGAACTGAATGACTTGTCTCATTTCACCCTAGTTCCTCCTTGGACTACTAACTTTTCCAAATGTTTATTTCTTCCACAAGGCCTCATATAGTAATGTGAGCACAGTAGAGGCACTAAGAAAAGGCCTATTAGCTAAAAATTAGTCCAAAGAGGAGGGTGGTAAATGACAGCTCCTCTCATTCACATAGGGTTTTACAGTTTTCACAGCCCTTTTCTGGGCATTGGCTCATCTGATTCTCACCACAGTCCTGTGAAATTCTTAGGATAGTGTATAGTGTCTTTCTTTCATAGATGAGGTGACTGAGGCCTAGGTTAGTTACACAGTTTGTCCAAGGTCAGACAGCTAATCTATGTCAGCAGCAGGACTGTCCCAGACTTCTGACTTCAAATCCAGAACTATTTCCAATGTATGATTATGGTCTTGGAGAAATAATAGCAACATTGGATGTGGGAGTCACCAAGAAATGTCCACAATAAGAAATATCCATGAAATTATATGACACCTGAGTCTGCTTTCAGGGGTTTTTATAATCTTGGTCTATCGTTGGATTTATTGATGATTTCCAAATTGTTATCACACCAATTAGTACATTAATTCATTCATTCACTTTTAAAAATATGCCTTAGTTGCTTACTTTGTGTTTAGTAATATTTGGTGGCCAGAGAAAAATACTGGACTCTAGCCCATGATATCCAATAGTTTAGTATAAAGTATAGGATGTAATAGGCAGTATGTAAATTTCTTATTGCTACTATAGCAAATTACCACCAATATAGTGGCTTGAAACAACCCGATTTTTTTTTTTTATTTTACAGTTCTGGAGGTCAGAATTTTGAAATGAGTTTCACTGGGCTAAAACCAAGGTGTTGGCAAGGCTGTATTCCTTCTGGAGCCTCTAGAGAGGAATTCATTTCCTTCCTTTTCCCAGCTCCTATGGCCTCCTGCATTTCTGGGCTCATGGTCTTGTCCATCTTCAAACCTAGCAATGGCTGGTTGAGGCATTCACAATGCCATCTCTCAAGTTCTGGCTCTTCTGCCTCCTCCTTCCATATTTAAGAAAACTCATGATTACTTTGGACACACCTGGATAACCAAGGATAATTAAGGTCAGCTGATTAACCACCTTAATTCCCTCTACAACCTTCGTTCTCCCTTTCATGTAACATATTCACTGGTTCTAGAGGTTAGGATATAGATATCTTTGGGGATTTACTACAGATAGTAAGAGATCTTACCCTGGAAAAACAATAATGTTGTAATTCCAGGCATCATGCATCCAAGAATCAAATGAGTTTTATAGGCCATAAATGCAGAGAGCAGGGAGGAAAGCTCTCCTCTGGGCTGGAGTGATCAAGGAACTCTTCATATTAGGCTAGGAAGCAAATAAGCAATGTCTCAGGGGTAAGGAGGAACATAGGAAGCGACAAGAGAACACAGAGCTAATCTGGTGAAGACAGAGTTTTGAGTGCATGAATCTGGTGCTCGTATATCCATGGGCCTCATTTGATTATTGCTGGCTTTGTCCTTCTCTATTTTATAGAAGGGAAAGCTGAGGTTCAGGAAGTTTGAATACCTCATGAGAAAGTTAGTTGCCAAAACTTCTGGCAAAATGGAAAGGGGGTTTTTCATGGTTCTGGGAAGAGGAAGAGGCTCCAACTTTTGCCACTGCCCATGAATGTTCTCAGTAAACCAAAATCTCTGGAATTACTCCCAGACAAAAATCCCTAAAATTGGCTTTCTCTTCTTTGCTCCAGATCATCTTCTCATAGAATGTGCATTTTTCAGAGCCCACTGCTCCATGCCCCTTTACGGTTGGAAGTGGTGGTGGTGGTGATGGTGGTGGGTGGTTCTGGACCACAGGTGTTGAGATAAGGAAAATAGAGCTTCTCTTGAGACATTTTGGGAAGTCTTTTTGCTCCAGTATTAGATTACCATTCAGGTCACATTGGGTCATCAACTCTGGGCCTTTGCCTAAAGCTTTAGCTCCGTTTTTAGCTTCTTGTTTGGGAAATGTGAAGAAGCACAGTGCAGAGAAAAAGCACAGTGAGGAAAAGCAAAAAGATTTTTCTAGCTCTCTGTGCTAGCTAACCCGGAACTGTAGGCAAGTCACTTTTCCCAGTCTTAGTTTCCCTACCTGTCAAATGGGTTGATTTGGCATGATAAATCTTTGAGTTCTGAGAGTCTGTATTCATGATTGTAGGACTCAGCATAAGCGGAGGTCAAAAGTGGACCTGGATTCACCACTCATAAGCTGACCTCCCCATTTCCCCGACTTTATGATTTACTTTCCTCATGTGCTTTAGGTCTCTTCCTCACCTTGGTTTGGCAACCCTTTCATTGGAGATGCCCCCAAATATGTGTCATTGGATGTCACTCATTCATTCATCATCCAACAATTAAGTGCCCATTTTTGCAAGGTGAGCAATTCCATTTTCCAAAGCCTTCTTGTTAGGTAGGAGGGAAGTGCAATCCAGGCTTATTGAATCATAGACAGTGGAGAATTCTGAGTTGGAAGGACATTTAGAAGCCATCATGTTCAATAACTTTCTTTTTACAAACAAGGAAACAAAAGCCCAAAGAAATGAAATGATTTGCCTAAGTTCACACAGCTAGCAAATGTCAGAACTGGGAATAAGAATCAATTTTCCCGTCTTCCAGCCCAGTCCTCTGCCTTCTCCCTCCATTATCTACCACATTCTATTAACTGATTTGAAAACAAAGCTGTAATGAGCCCTAAATTATTTTCTCCTTCAGCACAAAGAATTTTTAATTGGGGAAGGATGTGCCCAAATTTGTGATGAGAAACAATTAACACAGCCTCAGTGGAATTACTGGGCCATGGCCCATTGTTTCAGCAAAGGCATTCTATAATGGGAGGAAAAAGAAGATGAGGAGGGAGAGAATGCTGTTCTTCCTTGTTCTGGAAATCTTTTGTCTCCCTATTAAGTGTTTGTTTGCCAAACATGAGCCTAGTAAGTTGCATAGCCCAAGCAATTCCAACTATCTACCCTAATTCCTCAGTGTTACATTTGGTAGCTGGTATCTCAGTTATATTTCATTGCCAAGCCTCGTGAATCGACCTCGGCTGAGTTCTGTCTGTAAAAGGAGGTCTTGGGTACAATGGCTCCATCCTCTTTGTGATCCAGTTGGGACAGGTAAGCATCTGCCTTATTTGTCTTCAAACCTGGCCACCCACCCCACACCATATGGAGCCAATGAAAGTCAGAGACCAGTCACAACTGCAAGAAGAGCAATTGCCTTTGACTCTTTTATTAATTTCTTCTCTGGTGTTTTATTCTCTATTCCATTCTGGTTTGTACCAGATTCCCCAATTTTTAGTTTCCTATTTCTAGCCCCATTAAGTCAATCCTTTAACTTAACCAGATTTATTTTGTTCAACTCTTAGTTCTTCCTGGGTAATGGATTACACTCATTTTCTGACTTTTCCTACTCCTGGCCACTTTGGATTAAAGTTCAACCCAGTTCTTATTGGATTTATTTCCCAGAAACCCTTTATCCTTACTCCAGCAATCACTCTGCCTGGCTCATCCCTATAGGCTTGATTAGTCCCCTGTAAGGGGTAACTTGACATCCAGGCCACTGTGTCTATCCCCAGGACTCACTCAGATCTCTCCAGCTAACTGCTTGGATCTGCCACTTGTATGTCTCCTTCTTATTTCCCTGCCCTTATGCTTTACTTTCAGAACCTGCTTTGGACCTCTTCCTCACCTTGTTTTGGCAAGCCTTTTGCATTATTTGTTTATCTACCACAGCTCCTCACCAGCTCTGGGCTCTGCTGTGGCATCATTGGGACATTAGGTAAGAGACTGTCCCTCTAGTCCCTTACACATTCTTACTAGGGTGAAATCACAGCTCCTTCATTCTCATGCAGTGGCCCTGCTGCCAAAGAAGAAATATGTAGAAATGACTAGTGATTTTCCCCTGGCACTTTTAGCTGAATGTTTTGAATCTCTTGCATATCTGGAACTTGAAACTAACCACAGATTCCTAGGGTTAAAAAAAAAGCTTAAAGATCAAGTCTAAAATTTCTCAAATTGTAGTTCTGTGACTACCTGCACCAAAGTCACTATATTAAAAATATGGATTCCAGGTCATCACCCCAGACCAACTGAATTGGGGGAGATTATTAGATTGATGATTAGGCACAACAAAATTTGATAACTGATTTAACCTCCCAGATTCCAGTTGGTATTTCAGTTTAGCCATCCATAGCCATCAAAGGACGCTTCTGGTCTAAGTGGGTCTTGAAAAAGGGAGATTCCAGAAGTTACCAGACTATCAAAGAAATATTGATATTACATGTATCCACTATTTTCAAAGAAACCATCAATTGGTGTACTGGATACCTTCTTTCTATAGAACTCTGACCAGCCATAGTGGGGGATACTAGTTGGCTAAAACACTCAGACTAGCCATGCCTCTAAAGTGAGGATGCACATTTTCCTTTGTGTCTCTTAGGGAAGAGACAGTGTGGGGACAGTTTGCAACAAGTCTCACCTTGTCAGAGTGAAGCTGTCACCTTTGGCAGGTAAGTTTGTTTTGATGACTGTAATAAGTGAAAGTATGTGTGGTGAAGAAAAAGTAGGTCACCATTTTGAGATCCAAAAATTGACAAAAAATTTTTATGCGAAAGTATATCTCTATGGGAGGTACCTATCAAATTAAGAGAAGCTTATGAAAATGAAGTTAAAATATGTAAAGAGGGTAGGGAAGAAAGCTGGATTGTTGGAAGAATCTGTATAGCATCATAGATTTTTGTAGGAAGGGTCCTCAGAAATCAAGTAGACTAGTGGTTTTCAAGTTCTTTTTAGCACTTGGGCTCATTTGTCAAACAAAATCTTATGCAGAAATCTAATATGTAAAACAGATAAGTACAGAGGTGCTCTGGTTAAAGTGTGAGTGTGTGTATATGTGTGTGGTATTAGTCAGAATAAGCTAAGTTATGTGCAGTAAAAAAGAGCCCCCCGAATATTTCAGCCATTACAACAAAAGGTTTTCTTGTTCATGTTAAATGTCTGTCATAGGTGGACTTGGGCTCAGCTCACAGCTTCATTCCAGAACCCAAGTGGATAAAGCAACCACCATTTTGAATATTGCTGGTTTCCATGGCAGAAGAAACAACTCTGAAGAGTATTGCATTGGTAATTAAATGTCTGATTTGAAAGTGACACACAGCACTTCTATTCAGATCCCATAGGCCAAAATCAGTCGCATAGCCTTACCCAATCACAAAGGTGCCAAGAAGTACAATCCCACCATGTGCCCAGGAGGTATTTCCTAGTGAAAATATTTGGTAGACACCTCCACTGTTTATCACAATGAGCAAGTATGTGTGTGCACATGTGTATGTATGTGTGAGCACTCCCTTACCCCCAGTGTTCTCCCTAGATACCTCCAAGGAGCTCCTAGACTCCTTGAAAACTATTTGAGTCAGCTCCCCTATTTTATAAATGAAACTGAGGTCGAGTTGCTTAGTTAAGGTCAAATAATATCAAAACCTAGCCCATAGTGGAGCTCTCTTGGCTCTTAAGCCAAGGCTCCTCCCATTTAGTTCAGAACATGGTATGTGTGTGTGTGTGAGAGAGAGAGAGAGAGAGACAGACACAGATAGACAGAGACAGAGGGAGACATAAAGAGAAAAAGGTGATTCAAGAGTTAAATGTAGATAAAGACTCCTTCTGGAAGGAAATGTGAACTTGAGGAAATTTTCCATGAAGGCTTGCCATGCATTCCAAGTGACAAATAGATGCAGTAAAGACATTATATTTGCTCTGATTACCCAGGGGATGCTGGGCAATATAAAGAGTTTTTGAAGAGAACAGCAACTGATGATGAAACGTGGTATTTCTAATGTGGTGAGGAAGCCGAGCAGAAATCACCAACTTTGCTGAGACCTGGGAGAAATACTCACGTCAAGATCACAAGTGAAGAGGGCATCAATTGATTTCATTCAAGCCAAGGGCTTTGTGCTGGGAACATTTATCCCACAGGATGAAGCAGTTCCATTGGGTTCAGCAAACATTAGCAACTACCTCCTTTGTTCGAAGCACGGGGTTCAGCGCCAGGGATCCCATGACAAATAGCACACAGTCACAAGAAGAGATGGTGAGATGTGCACTTTGAGGTATGGAAGCAGTGGAAGATACAGGACTCTCAGATGATTAATATGTGTGTGTAGGGGGTGTGGGGGTGGGCAAGGAAAAGTGCATGGAGAATGGCTCCCAAGTTTCCCTTTTTCTCGTGTTTCTCACTGGGCATTTGGGGTAGGGCAGTCCCTTGGGCAGGTCGCTCCCATATACAGCAGGACATGTAACACTTCTAAACTCAGTGCTGCATTCTTAGTCATTCATTGTGACCCCCCCCCAAAACATACATACACCACTTCCGTATGTCCCTGGAGGGGCTGTTTCCTCTCCTTCCTATCTGTCCCCCTTCAGAACTACTAACTCTTCACCCTCACCTTCCACACTACAGCCAGAATAATCTCTCTTATCTTCCTAAAATTACACATATCATCCCATCCTCCCTCCACCTAACTCCTTCATTGCCTTGGTAGGTGTCATATGAGGTTGCGCCAAGTCTAGGTCCTTCCTATGTCTCCACCCTCATCCTTCTCCACTTTCTCCCTGGTCCTTCATTTTCTCCCACCTATGCTCCAAATACACAAAATCTGCTTGCATTTGTCTTAGAAAGAGAGCCTAATGCTCTTTCCCACTGCTGTGCTTTTGCATGTGTTTTTCTCTTTGGATGGTCTCCTTTGTCCACCTGGTGAAATCCTGCTCCCACTGGTTTGATCACTCTTCCTTATGATCACTAGCCTGAACCCAACTTTGGTTTGTCTTGATCATACTGCTTGCTGTTATTTTTTTACTTAGAGCAAACTGTATAGTATAGTACTAATGGCTCAGGTAGATTATACGAATGTGCCCTGCTTTAATATTTAACACCTGTAAATTGGACTCGCAATCTCCGTTTCTTCTGTAAAATGAGAATAATAATAATAGTAATTATAGTAATAATCCTGCATAGATTTATTCTGAGGATTAAGATAATGCAAGTAGAGTACAAGCTAACCAAAAGGCTAGTTATTATCATCATAGTTATGATTGTGAACATTATTTTGATATTTCCCCCACCAGACTATGAACTCCTTGGGGGTAGACATCTTGTTGAAAGCAACTTTGTATTCTTAGTTCTTTGCATAATGCCAGGCAAATGGGAGGTCCTCCACATAGTTTTGACTGAATGAACTTAATCAATCAGGAAAGTGTTAAATTGTGCTCAGTGAGTAATAGGCAGGAAAATGTCATGTATGTTTTAAAATTTCAACTAACATTTTTGAAAAAGAAAAACATTTTTTCCCTTGAAAGGCATACTTCATTTGTTTGGGAACTTCATCAATGTGAACCTGCTAGTTTCTGGATGGTGCCCAAGCGATGACCGTATACTCTTTTACTCTAGAGAGGAGTGTGGGAACATGGGTTTGCAGTCAGCCCCAGTGGGTTCACATCCAGGCTTTGCTACTTTCTAGTTACAGAACTTGTTACCTAAGCTTTGTAGAGTGATTGCAAATCTATCAATCTTGTTGGATTATTTGGATTAGAACTAGTTAGTTTTACTCCATTGCTTACCATATTTCTGGTACTTATGGGGTGCTCATGAAATGTTAGTTATTTCACCTTGAATTGCTGGATGAATTTTTTCTTAGTAAGCTTATGAGTCACTTGGAGGTGGGGATTCAAGGTCTGTGTGTCAGGGATCTGTGGTTGGCAAGGACAGACATTCACTGAAGCTCATCCAGCTCAAAAACTGTTCTGCTTTTCCTAAGCATTTCTCCTTCATTCCTCTCTGTTCAACTGGCTTCTCTGTGTATCCCTCTGCCTGTACAAGACCCATCATGGTTGCCATAAGATGGTGGTGTTATCCCCTGACTGCATCACTACACTCCCTGACTCCACTGCTAACAGACTTAGGCTTTTGTGTCTCAAGCACAAATTCCTGGGAGAGAGAATCTGATTGGGCTAACCTCTGGTTAGGAGGTGCCCCTCTCTTTTTTAATTAGCTTTGCTGGAAGTGGGGCTGAGGGTGGTGGAAGAAGCAGGGTCGCAGAGGTGCCAGCCAAGGGGGAGGTTTTTTTCCAGAAAAAGAATGTGGGGACTTCTGGTACAGTGTCCTGTCCTCTAGGGCTCTGTAGTCTTTCTGTGTTCAGTGAAAGAGAGAGGAACAGGAGGGAAAGATGAGATTTTCTGACAGAGCAAAAGTGCCATCATATCGACTAATTTTATTTTTTTCCTCTGGCTATTGCACATGCGGTCTTCCTTGTTTTTCATTTGTTTTGATATTGCTTTTGTTGTTTTTAACCTCTTCTGAGGTGCCACCAGGAACATCAGCTTAGTTTTGATGGGATCCAAGGAAGTCCTGTCACTTGCCTTATCATGCACACCTCTTAATTCTATTCTTCTCAGGTTAAGCCCTTAAAGGTAGTCATTAAAATAAACCATCAGGCTGGAGCTTAATTGATCAAGTAATTATGAAGAAAATGAAATTAGAGATTTCAGCAACATCTAAGACAATGGGGTATCTCCTTCCCATCCTATGACTCCCAACACCTTTCTTCCCCCATTATTGATCATGTAAATTGTACCTTAATGTTTCTGATGGCGCTAAACCTACAGTCATGACCTGTGGTCTCACACACAATCAGGTTAGGAAGCTGTGGTACGAAGAGGGTCTCCAACTGAGAGCCAGGGGTTAACATGGAGGTAAGAGGAGCTCCTCTATGCCAGGGGCTGGAACATCAAGAAGGAAGGGAGCTCATGCTGGGCTACAGGATCATTAGACCCAAAGGCCTGGGACTGGCTAATAGTGGTCCTTTGAGCAGTATGAAAAGATTCCACCTTAAAAACCCAATCCCAAGGGCAAGCATTGTATATTGCTTCTTGTTTGCTCGCTTCCTCAGATATCACTGATCAGGGAAGATTTAGGGTTTCTCTTTTTCTTTCCTTTTCCCTTTTTCTCCCCTCTAACATCAACCTGATGGCACAGAGCTTGAAAATCCTCAAGTTTAGGGTTGACTGGAATCAGATCTGGCTGTGCCCATCAGCTGCTGGGAGGCTTGGAAGGTCCCAGGAGAGCCCTACCTTTGAACCAGAACCCCTTTGCCACCATCTGCACACAGATCCTTTGTAGTGGAGACAGAAATTTTTGTTCTCCATAAACAACAGAGCAGTACTTTCGTTGGACACTTCCCTCTGCTGAGAATTTGGAGTAGCACTTTATCAACCCTGAGTGCACTGCCTTGCTTTAATGTCTGGCAGAGCATGAATTGTAAACACGTCATTAGACTTAAAGGCTGCCCCGGGATGCTAGCTGAAGGAGAACAGGCCCTGAAGAAAAGAGAAGTTTGGCTGAAAATGAGCTGCTGAATAATTTATCATGAATTGAAAAGTCAATACCTTAAGTGAGGCGTGGTGAAGCTTTGGGAACTTGGAGGTAAACACTGCGAGGATGTAATGTTTGAGAGAATATTACCAAAAGGAATGGCTCTTTGGCAGAAGCAGGAGATGGAGAGCCCATGACCAAGGGCTGGGGTGGGGAGGGGGCAACAAAAGGAGAAGTTAGAGCAGAGCTTGCCTTCAAGGCCACTGCTTCTTAATGGGAGGAGAGGTTAGGCCTGAAAAGAGTTGGGGAATGGTTGAGAACAAATCAGAATGCTGGAGAGGAGTTCCAAGAAGACCTGAACAGTGAACCCAGGAAAGCTTCCTGGAGGAGGGAGGACCCAGGCCTGGAAGGGAGGATTTGATGAAGGGAGGGGAGGGAAGGGAAAGGAAACCTCATCAGACAAACTGTGAAGGTGCAGCAGAGAGAAGCTGAGGAGGGTGGTGGCGGTGCAGGCTGAGGAACGCCACATGAAAGAACGGAAGTGTGCTCAAGTTTGGCATGGGAACCCCTGCAGATTCTTTGGCAGGACGTTGACATTCGTTCATTGATTCATTCCACAAATAATCAGCATATAATTGAGTAGCTGTGTTCCAGAGACTCGGCTGTGCCTGCCATGGTGAACACAAGACAGGCATGATTCCTGACCTCACAGAACTTACATTCTAGTAAGGAAAACAGATAATCAATAAATTGTAAGCACATTCATTGTGCTAAGTGGGCTATATGCACCGTCTCAATCCTTACTGTGAGGTTAAGAGGTAGATGAACTAATTATCTCCATTTTACAAATGAAGAAACCGAGGCTTAGGGAGGTTAAGTAATTTGCCCGAGGCAACCCAGCTACTAAATGGTGGGGCTACAAATCTGTAATGCAATGACATAGTTATGATTTTGGTTAAATGTTAGATGGGGAAGTAGATGGGGCCATGGGCCATTGTTGGACACATGATTTTGTTCAGGGGGTCAGGGAGGCTTTCTGGAGGACGGAGCTAAGAGGACACCTGCAAGATGAGTTGGGTGATGTGAGATTGAGTGGCCCCTTGGTGAAGGGGTGGGTAGAAGAGATCTACCAGGCCAGATCTGGCCAGGCTCTGAAAGAATGTCAGGGAGGCTGGACTTTATCCTGAGGGCAGTGAGAAGCCACTGAAGGGTTCTAGAGGGGAAGGATGGAGAGTGTGTGTGTGACAGAATCAATTTTGCATTTTTAGGAGATCACTGTGGCTGCTTTGCAGGGAATTGATTGGTGGGGCCAGGAGTGCAAGCTGCTGGAACAGTGAGGACGTTGAGAAACAGGAAATAAGTGAACCAATAAATGTGTCAAACCCTTGAATGGTTTATTCATAGAAGAGTCCCTCAGTCCCGTGCTCAAAGCCTTTTTTCCCCCACTTACATCCAATTCTAATAATTCAGCTGTTTGTTTTCCCAATTTGTAGCAGATGAGTAATAACTCAAGAAAGAATTCGAGAATGCAGTGGGAAGGAAGCACTAGCCACCATGAAAAGTGGCAGCTTGATTCTAAGGAAAGACACATTAAAAATACTAAAATAAATCTAAATTGCTCAGCAGGTTGGGATTATTCAGTAGAAAGGCAAATAGCCCTACCCCAACCACATCCTCTCATTTCAACCTTGTATTTGATAACGTTAGCAATTACATTGAATCAACAACAAAATGTGATATTAACCTCTCTTTAAAAAGTCAGGGGGGGGGGAAAGGATGATTTTACATTCCCAGCAGTGCTTTTGACTTGTTGTGTTGCTGCTGGACTGATCCCAAGATGGTCTTGAAGCCTGGAGCTCGTGTTCCTGTTCCAGTCCCCAAGGCCAGCTCTGGGTCTCCCCTGTATGATGGTGACCATCCTAAGGTCACTAGAGCAGAGGGACTGGGGCTTGGTCAAACCCTCTGGACTTTCATCAGTGAGCCTGGCACATGAGCTGAGGCAGGATGACAAAGCAGTCATGATGGCCATGGTCCTCCTTCAGAAGCTTCGCAGGAACATTTTCTAGACTGATGGACGTAGTCTTCAAGGGACTTGGAAAGGTCACAGATGCTAGGGAACCTCCTCAGAGAAGCACAGGGTCCCTCAGTGGTTCCTTAGTGATTTCACCAGCATGGGCGTGGCTCTAGCCTTTCACTGTGCCCCTTACTGCCCCCCCCCACTGGGCCCCTCACTGAGTCCCTCACTGCATCCTCACTGGACCCCTCACTGTCCCCCCCCACCGGCCCTCTCACTGGACCCCTCACCAGCCCCTCATTCAACCATAGTGGGCCTTGGCCTAGATTAAGTGTGAGATGCACCCTGGCTGTGGGGACTTGGATTGGCTTTTCTCTGATCTGAGACTGATATCCTCCAGGGCCCTTATGCTCAGGTGGTCAGGCACCCTCCATCATCCCTGAGGCGGGTACTCCACTTTTAGTTTTGCTTGAGTGATGAGAAGTACTACCCAGGAGCCAGGTCGATGAAAGACTCCTGAACAACTTCTCCTATTTCGGGAAACTTATTTTGTTGTTGTTGTTA